AGAAATTCAAAATTGATGGCATGATATGATGGATAACGGCCATATTTTTCATTTTTATGAATGAAAAATGAGAAATAAACGAATGCTAAGTATACTTTCACCATTACTCAAACTGATAAAAGTTTGAGTCTCATGAAATGTATGATTAAAAAAATTAAAACTTGATCGGTTGAAAACTTGGCAAAATTTTATCAACAAAGTAGTACTTATTTGATTTTATCAAAATATGCTTAAATCAAAAATTTCCATTTTAGCGAAGGAAGAGAATTGGTGGGGTCATGAAAAAATTGATGAAATAGGAAACCAAAGCAAATAATTGAGCAATAATGATGCTATGTGTAACCCTACCTTAGTCATAATTATCAACTTTTGGTCTGCTAATGAAATAAAACTTTGAACATCGAACCAAAATAGGAAAACAAATACAAACAATGATTTGCCCACGTTCACGTGCATATGTTTGTATTAACCTCTAATTCTTTCTTCCCCATCTTTCTTCCATGCATGATGCATGTGCATAGCTACGATATAGAACTCTTATAACATGTTTGGCGAAGCTTTAATTTTAATTTTTTTATTCATACTTTTCGTAGAATCCAAAACTTATTACTTTCACTTTTTGTAAAATACATCTTAATACTTAAAAGCACTCCCAAACATATGTTGGTAACAAAATCGAAATTTTATGCCTGCGGGGTCGCTTCATAGATATTGTTATTCAAACTACATAGATTCTCTATCAAAAATGCAACTTGCATAAGTGATGAACACACAACACTTTCTAGATTTTTTTCTTTTTTGAAAAATATAAGTATTTTATGTCTAGAAGTGTTAATTTCGGAGCCACCAACATGATATAAAAGAGAAAAGTCGTCTAATCACTATATCAAACACATCGTTCCCTCTTTAGATGAACTTGTGAATACTCAAAATTATATAAATTATAATCCGAAAAATAAAAGATAACCCTTATGTTAAATCGTTTCCACTTCATGTGAAATGCTCTCTAGATCTTTTTACTATTTTCATTATACAAAACCACCCCACACCCGAGTTGATAATTCGTAGTAAATGTCGTAAATTCCTTTTTTTTTTTTACATTTGCTATGAATCTGTCACGACCCTTTTGTATTATAATGAAATATGGACAGATTTGTAATTTCATAGTAGAATGTAGTTAATTTTTAAAGATGTAAACATAAACCAATTTATAAAGAATTGGGTTACTCCTCTTAATAATGTTGACCTTTTAAGATGGAACTCCAATTTTTAATATGGTATCAGAGCTCATTAAACTCTAAAGAGCAATTCGATCTCGTTAAGACTCCAAAAGTGAACATACGGATTTCAAAATTAGTCTGCTCAAACGAGCCACCATCTTACGGGGGCATGTTAAAAGATAGAATCCCATATCGAATAAAGATGTAAACATAAACTAATTTATAAAGAATTATGTTACTCCTCTTAATAAGGTTGACCTTTTAAGATGGAACCTTAATTCTTAACAATTTTAATAAAAATGAAAGGTGGAATGCCATTACAATAAGTCCAAAATGAATATTCAAGAAATCAATCATCAACGTGATTCTCATATTTGTACATCTTTGGATCACACGCCAACATTTGTGTTCTATATACATAAACCTTTCATACAAGATATTGTGGAATATCGCACACGTTAGTTTCTTGTTTGAGATTATATTTAAAAATGAAAATTGATGATCAATTACTTAAAGTTTTGTTATTGAAGGGTTGGTTAACCTTCCACACTTGTTCTAAAATTATTGTAATGCATTTCTTCTCAATTAACTACGACTAAAGAAATCGAATATATAAAAAATACGGGGTACATCTTATTATTACTATCTAAATGAGAATCTAATCAGGTTGATGACAACGTGACCTTCATTCGTCAAGAATCAATTACGACACGATTTCAGTCGATAAGGACGAAAGAACACAAATTGAATTTTCCTCTTTCCAACTTTATAAAATTTTCGTCATGAATTAAGAAATCCATCACAGCACGACTTTAATAGATAAAGGCGAAAGAAAACAAATTGAATTTCTCTTTTACCAACTTCGTAAAATTATTTATTTTAGCTCCACAAGTTTTAGTTGTCCTCACTTCCCTTCCTTTCTTTTCCAAATTATATAGAGGTGTATTAATGAAGGTGCAATTATTGGTACGAGGTGGTTGAACACCAAATGTTTCATAAATAAAAAAAATCCTAATCAAATTCATGCAAGAGTATATTTGAAGTGTAAATTAGGTGGAAGCCTACTTTTAAAAATTACATTTCAAAAATCAGATTTAACGTTTATTTATAAAAAAATTGGATAATAATATAATTTTTAAATATTAAGAGGGTGTTTGGTGTAGATTAAAATCAGATTTTAAGTAGATTGTGATAGAAGTTTTTAAAATATGTGGTTGAAAAGATGTGGTTGATATTGATTGTTTGACTTAGATTAAAATCATATTAAAATCTGGCCTAAACATGCCCTAATAATAATCTTATAAAAATAATTTAATCGACATACCCACTCCACCCACACCCACATCCAACACAAACCCTAACCATAAATCATTTTTCATTTCTATTTTCTTTATCTATCATTTCCCTCGTCTCTCTTCTATCGCCGTAGAGAGACCCATTGTCGTCGCATAGCAGGCGATGACACACAGCAGCAGCATCGTTGGAAGCCAAAACAGTAACATCGCACTCAACGGGCGACGCTGTGTGCGACGTTACTATAGAAATTGTGCGACGCTTTGCTCGTCTCGCAGCGCCTCGCGCATAACACACACAAAGCTTACATCGACGCCGCAGTTGTGGATTGCAGTTTGTTGTGGACTTGATAAGGCAATGGTAGTGATGCAGTGGTGGCGATGACCACGAAGGCAGTAGTTTTGGAGAATTTTTGGTGAGTGTGGTGGTTGTGGTGTGTGAAGACGGTTGTTGTGATTTTGGTATAGGAGGTGGTTCTGCTGCTTCTGCTGGCCATGACGTTGATGGTAAGATGGTGGTGGCGATGATGATGACGGTGACAGTGGTGGTGGCGATGTTGGCGTTGACACTAGTAGTGGTTTTATAGTTGAAAATGGTAGTTTGTTGGAGGTAGCACAGCGACAATGGTGTTGCTAGTAGGTGGTGGCAATGGTGTTGGCGACAGTCGACTGGGGCAATGGTGAAGTGATGGTCACAAGTGTTGATGGTGGTCACAAATTATTTGGTTGATTGCAACTAATAAATAGATAAATTATGAACAATAAATAATGTTTGACCTAAAAATTTATTAATTTGTGATCAATAATTTGATAAATTTTGTCTTATAAAATTTGTGATTTGTGATCGATGAAATTTTTTATTTGTGCAGTGAAATAATTTATGCCCTATAAAAAATTTTATTTTTGATCGAAAATTAATTTGTGATCAATTAATTCGATAATTATGACCAAATTATATAGAATTGTGATCTTCATATAATTAATTTTTGAAAATTTTAAACTTTCTATCTTAATTTTGAAATGAGTGATACTTAATCTCTTGCATTTGAAATTTTCCCATATTTGAACTTCGGCCCTTTTTATTTATCCTTTCTTTTTATTATTTTTCTTCATAGTAGAGCTCAAATAAGTTAAAAGTAACTTATAAGTAAGAAATGAATTCTCTCCGTTTCCCTCTCTCTAAAAATAGGCAACAGCTATACTACACAGAAACACTGGACCAATACAATTAGGCTGAAAATGGCAGCGGGCAGTCTCTTTTATTCCATAGGGTTGTAAACACAACCACTGCACAGCCTGTATTTGCATCTTCCCCTGCACTTTTGTCTACTTTACTATATTGCCTGGCCATTAATATTCTCAATAATTGCTTTAACTACCCATTATTATTCTTATTATTGCATATATGAAAAACCCATCAATGATTTTCAAAAGTTGTTCTTTCTCAATTAGTATGATCTAACATGCATAACAAAATTGGCTTTTTTGAATTCCCCATTTTTTCTATTCTTGAATTGCCTAAATTGAAGTTACATGTGCTTCCATGTTTGGCCTTTTCAACTAACCCTGTCCATTTTAGAATTAACTGAAAATTTCAATGTGTTTTGTGGGAACCCTTGGAGTTGGCGAAGAGAATTTAACGTTAGATAATTGGATGGTGTTGCTGTCGGGAGATTTATGGTATATACTGTATAGGCATCTGTACTGCAGCAGCATTTTCTGGGTTGCGCCGCCAATGCGCTGCCGAAATTCCCCGAAAACCACCATTTGAATTCACAGATCTCAACGCCAATTAAATATAGCTCAAGCCTTTGGTGGTTGTAAAAAGGGCCGAAAATTGAGGTAGCTAAATTCTATATAACAGTATACTTGTTTTTTGTTATGAGATTCTTTTTTTCTTCTAGTTGTTTATATGAAAGAGTGATTTTTACTTTTCTTCAGCTTTACACCAGTGCCAAGTAAGAATACGGAGAATTTGGAAGAGTATTCGACTTTGAGAGTGGTTGGTTCATTTATATATAGGTTTAAAGGGGCTTTTGACTGTTGAGAGGTGATACAGGAACCACAATCAAAGGAGGGTCGGTGATATTGTTGGGATTTGCTGCTAAACTTTGATAAATTCAAGGTACACTGCAAGCATTTCAACTCCTTTGGTCTCTCTGTTTTACATGGTTTTTGTATTATTTTATAGCTTCTTGCTGTGTTGGGATATCAACGTATCTTATTTAGTATGAGATTTGAGATTGGTACCTAGTACATAGACATGCTTGTTGGATTATATGCTTATATTAAATCAAGTTTTGAGGGAAGCGTAAATTGGGCTTATTGCCCGAGTTTTGCATAGTTTAGGGAGTGAGACTCGATAAGTGAATGTGGGAATTTGAGTTGTAAAATAAAGGGTTGGAGTGTTCATTTTAGAAAGATATTAAGGAGTTAGAGAAGAGTTTATGGTTTAATGTGAATTCTGACCTCTACGGTTTTGTAAGACATGCCGAGTGTTGATGAGAAAGAAGATGTTTTCTTTGATACCGCAATTTACTTGTCATCCGAAGAGTCTGTTGTAGAGGAAAAAAATCTGGCGTTTTATGATTTAGGGGACAATCTTTGGTTGAGTGAGCCACAGAGTGTCAAGGAAAGAAGGGAAAATTTCTTGCAAAGAATGGGTTTCGCTGATTGGAAATCCCTTGGTGAACTAGAGGCAATGCGGTTGGAAAGGGTTATGGAATCTAGTGGAGCTGTTTCCAGTTCGTGCGGTTTGCCTACTTGTAGTACAGGTGACAATTTGGAGTGTGACAGACCGGAATTGAATGGTGAAGCAAATTGTTCACTTGATGATCCTGACCAGGATTGGTTGGATGATATGGCCATTGATGTAGATAGGGACATCAATGAGGATTCTGTGGAACAATGTGATAATGGAGAAATGCAGCCTTGTCTAGAAGATTGCAAGTACGTGGATAAGAAAAAGAGGAAAATGATGTGCTGGTGGAAAAGCTTCTCACAGACAATGAGGAAAAATCGAGGTAAAGCAGGAAATGCTGCTTGGGTGAAGATGGAACAAAATAAGAAAAGGTTTATGGAATGCTCTGCTGTCTATATTGGACAAGAAATTAGAGCACACGATGGCCTAGTCTGGACAATGAAGTTTAGTCCTGATGGCCAATATCTGGCTAGTGGAGGTGAAGATGGGGTTGTTTGCATATGGCATGTTAGTTCGATAGATGCCGCTACCAATACTAAGGAATGCAAGTTTGGTAGCCAGGACATGAAAGGTCCATCCAGTTCTCGGAGGAAAAAGTCAAGTCACCCTTCTGTCATCATTCCTGAAAGGATTTTCCACATCGAAGAGGAGCCATTGCACAAGTTTCATGGTCATGGCAGTGATGTTTTAGACCTTGCATGGTCCACAACTAATGTAAGTCAAATACCTGCTAATTAACTGTTTCTATACGTGTACATCTTAATAGTAGCTGACATAGATTTTTTGACTGCAGCATCTTCTTTCATCATCAATGGACAAAACTGTTCGTTTATGGCAAGTAGGTTCTGATGAATGTCTTGGCATTTTCCATCACAGTAATTATGGTATTAGACAATTGCGTTTTACAGATTCTTTGATTTTTCTAATTGCTTTATGTTTTTATTGCTATTGAGCCAATCATAATCCCAAGTCCTTTTGCAATCTAAAACCCAAAAGAATGTCTTATTTTACACCATAATGCTTACTAATGTACCTTTGTTTGCCCATTGGATGATTCAGTAACGTGTGTTCAATTCAATCCTGCGGACGAGAACTACTTTCTCAGTGGCTCCATAGATGGTAAAGTTCGAATATTTGGAGTTACCAAGAGGAGAGTTGTTCATTGGGCTAATATGCAAGATCTAGTAACAGCAATTTGTTACCAGCCAAATGGAAAAGTAAGGTTTATGATGTCAAAGCTGTTCTCTATATCTACTGGATTTATGCTAGTGTTTCTGAACTAATAGTATATGGTTTTACTCAACGGAACAGGGTTTCGTTGTTGGTTCTCTTTCTGGTACCTGCCATTTCTACGAAACATCAGGTACATAATTTGCTCATCCATGGTCTCATTTTTAGTATTTTGAAATGTCAGTTCACGTTCTCGTTAGGAGCTTCTAAACCATTTTCTTATTGTGCACAGCTGACGAAATTGAGCTAAAAGCAGAAATAAACATTCAGGGTAGAAAGAAATCTTCCAGCAACAGAATCACTGGCATTCAGGTTTCACTCTTAAAGTCCCGATGTTAAAACATGTTATCCCCTGTTTTCAGAGAAGTTGACATGGACTTCATTCTTTGCAGTTTCTGAAAAATGACTCTCAGAGAGTGATGATAACATCAGAGGACTCCAAAATTCGGATACTTGATGGGCTTGAGGTTGTCCGTAAATACCGAGGTATAGAAACGGTTCCATTTATAGTTTTTGAGCTATGCTTATTGAGACTTGCCGATTTATCTTTGACAGCTTGCATTTCATATTACACAATGAGTGCCCGATAACAATGTATTTTATTCCTTATCTTCATTTCTCAGCATCACTTTTTCCTTTGTCCCCTGATACCGTTTTACTGTATAAAGTATAAACTAGAACGATTCAGTAATTTGAATAAGCAAGCGAATCTCCTCAGTCCATACAGAACTAGATGATTTTGGGGGTCTTTTTGAATTTTATCTGGTCATCAGATCCCTATTATTGGCATCAGGGATCAAAATAGCATTTCACAGATCCGAGTACGAACTTTTTCTGTCTAAACTGAGCAACAAAGTTTGTTTTTACTTGTTCAGGCTCTCTGCCTGTTCATTCCTTATGTAGATTAACAAATTGATGGATTCACATAAAAACTTCTATTTCAGTATGTCTGTTGTCTATGCCTATGATCTCGATTACATTGTCTTGTTTACAATTTTTTGACCTTTTCTCTACCGTTTAAGTTCATAAATTTAGTTTAACTTGTAAAACTCTATTTGCGTCTGTTTACTATTAACAAAAACCTTTAACAAATTACAATTATTAGGTTCGTGGGATCACTACATTTTCTTATATATGATTTCTCTTGAACGTAATAGGTCTAGCAAAGTCAGGAAGTCAGATGTCAGCTTCTTTTACTTCTAGTGGGAGACACATAATATCAGTTGGGGAGGACTCACGTATTTATGTGTGGAATTATGATGATTTGTGCGTCCAGACACCCAAACAAGCCAAATCCTCCCAATCCTGCGAGCATCTCTTCTTTGAGGGTGTTTCTGTTGCACTACCTTGGTCAGGTTTGGCGATAGAACAAAATAGTTTTGCTTGTGGCAGTTCCAAGTCTGATGTACAAACACTTGATCACCAAGAAGCATCCTCTAGGTTTCAGGATTCAGAACGTTTCTCCCTTGCAAATTGGTTCTCCACAGATTTCTCATCCCGAGCCGCCACAACATGGCCGGAGGAAATACTTCCTTCATGGGAGTTACAATCTGTTGAACATGATTGTCTGCCATGTAGTAATTATGGCGATCATCTTCATCAGCAGCTGCAGCACAAGAATAACAGCCATGGATCCAAAAATCTATCTGCAACATGGGGTCTTGTGATTGTGACAGCTGGTTCGGATGGAATGATCAGGACATTCAACAATTATGGATTGGCAGTCAGGATTTAGGAGTTCAATAATTCGCCACATTGAAGCTTTTCATAAAAATTCGGAAAGTTCTGAATTGACAAGTGGAGTCATCCGTCCAGGTGAAAATTTGCAGCAGAAATTGCTGTTTAGCAAGCCTCGTAAATATACTATTGTTTTCCATGCCTGTTGTTTTGATTTCACTTTCAGTTTCAGCAGCAGGTCAAGACTCTCAGCCTCCTCTTTTTCCTCAGTTATTCATAGTAGGTTAGATCGGGAGACAACAGGATGTACAGAATTTTTGTTCTTGTCTTTTTTCAAATGGATCACCACTTTCAAATGTAAATGACATTGTCAGCAAAAATGGTACAATTCAGAATTGGATTTTTTGTATGCCATTATGTATGGTTGAATTGGTCCTTCATCTTTTGTCAAAGTGATCCCATCTCTTGGAGCTCCAAGAAACAACGCACTATAGCTAAGTTGTATACCGAGTTTGATGAATACAGTTTCATTGCATCCACATACATTGGTCACAGGAACATGTTCATGGCTTTTATGTTTCTCCCGCGAGGTCTTGCTATCTATTGTGATAATGTGTTGGTATTTTTCAAATATTGCTTGTAAAAGAAGAAGGGTCGGATGAGAATATAATTGCGTGGGGCATGAAAGGAGCAAGCATGTACATTGCAAGGCAGCACAGGTGCCAACGTTATGGAAGTTCCTGGATTGTGTAA